CCTCGATGATTTAGTGATGACAACCTAAGCGCTTGGCCAAGTTGGGACTAAGTTGATGTGTTCAATTGTAGTCTGTTGTCAGTCGTCATAAATCGGAAGTCGGGAAACAATATAAAGACATAGAGAATGATTTAAATCCATGTCTCAGTCTATACGATATCAAGAATGGAGGAATATATGATTCCTTATCTAAAGGACACGCTTCTGATAAGATCAGAGTTGACAGCGGCTTTGAAAGCTACGATTACGGATCAGGATCTAAAGTCATACGCAGAAAAGTTATTAGACTTATCTAAGTGGGAGACTGTTGGATTAGTGTCTAAGTCCATAACTATTTTGGTATGCACTTGACCCGATGGTGCATGGTCCTTTTGGGTTGCCTTCACCAATGCAACTTGATAGGATGAATTATGGAGAGAGAGGATTAATTATGATTTATTAATATATTATGAGAATAGTATATTAAATGAGAAATCATATTGTTTAATTAATATTAGTCAATAATTAATCAAGAATTAATTTTGTGGCTAAAAGAGATTAATTAAACTTAAGGGACTAGAACTATCAATTGTGTGATAATTGAATATTGGGCTAATGGACTCCATATTAGAGGAGTGGACGAATTCTATGGGGAAACCCATTAGAAATCGTCTAAGGCCTCTAAGGAGGGAGTCAATGGGCTGCTTAAGGCCTAAGCAGTCAAATTAGGGTTTCCTTGTTAGATAACCCTAATAGCCTCACATATTTTAGGACCCCTAGGGCACCAAAAAGTGTGGCTAACTGATTCCTTAGGGTTTCTAGACGTTTTTGGGTGCCTCTCCTCTTCTCCTTCTTCATCCACTAGCTCTTGGTGTTTGTGAGCCATTAGAGGTGTAGCATTTGTGACACTAAGCTTTCTGAAGCCAATTACAAGGAGGAATAGATTGTTATTACTACATAATAATCAAAGGTAATTTTTAAACCCCTAATTCGGTTCATAGCTTAATAGATCTAGGGTTTATGGCTTTGGATGATTATTTCATGTTCATTAGACAAACTAGATCCAAAGCTTTAGGGTTTGCATAAATTATGAAATGGTGTGATTTATATTATTTTATGAAATGGTGTGATTTATATTTAATAAAGCTTCAAGATATGCACAAATTATGAGTTTAGGAGTTCTACGATGTGAAAATATGAGTTTGATGGAAATATGATGTCAAGAACTCTTAAATATGGTGAAAAGTCCGAAACTACCAAAAATCCGGAGTGGTGTGTGAAGGATTCGCAGGCTGCGAAGGTCAGAGGTGTGAATGCGAAGGTAAAAGCTGCGAATGCTCAGCATGCAAAAGTGAAGGTTCGTATGTGAAAGCTCAGGATCTGAAAGCGAAGTTTCACATGCAAAAGTTCAAGGATGAGAAGGTAAGAGGGCTCGTTGTGAAGCTTCCGACTGTGAAGGTGAGGAGGCTCGCTGCGAAGGCTTAATAGAAGGTTCACTGCGAAGGTTTTAGAGAGGGTTCACATTGAACTTTCCGCTTCTAATTTTCTCCTTCCATTTCGAGTGGTTTTCAACAATTTGAATGGTTGGGATGGTATAGGTGTTTATGGGAAAGGTTAGTAGTATGGTTCTTGTGACTAAGAAAGATTTGGGAGAGATTCGAGAGAGATTTGGGAGAGAAAGATAGATGGAGAGAGAGATAGATAGAGAGAGAGAGAGAGATTGTGTTTGTATCCTTTGCTATGGTTTTTCCCCATAGTGTTATGATTATAAACTCCACTATGTCGTGTTATGAGTGTTATATATCCCCGAAGGATACATAGCTTTTGTTGTCAGAATAAAATGTGTATTTCATAACAAGATGGACAAAGAAGGAAACGTGATTCCCAACAAGGCACGATTGGTGATTAAAGGCTATTACTAAGAGGAAGTAATAAAATACAAAGAGACGTTCGCACTGGTCGCTAGAATGGAATCCATTCGGGTTTTTCTTCCCCATGCCACTCACAAAAAATATGAAGTCTATCAGATAGATGTGAAGTGCACATTTCTTAATAGAGAACTCAAGGAGCTAGACTGTCTATGTGGAACAACCACTAGGTTTCATGAATGAAAAATATCAAAATCATTGCTACATTCTGGATAAGGCAGTGTATGGTCTGAAACAAGCACCTCGTCCATGGTATGAAACTCTGACTCGTTTTCTTAAGCAATCAAAATTTAAACAAGGTTCAGTTGACCAAACCTTCTTTCGCAAGAAAGATGGCGACCATTTAATGATCGATCAAATTTGCGTTGATGACATTATTTTCAAATCCACTAATCCTTAATTAACAGTTGAATTCCGAAAAAATGGAATCTAAATTTGAAATGAGTTCAATGGGTCCTATTAAAATTTTCCATGGCTTAAACAGTAGACATAGCTCAGAAGGCATATTCAATCATCAAGAAGCCTACACAAAGAACTTTCTTGCTAAATTCAGAATGGTGGGGGACACAAAGGTCAAAGTTCCAACGACATTCAGAACGAAACTTACTTCATCTTTAGACAAGCCAACAACTGATATCATTCTATATCACCAGATGATTAGGTCATTAATGTATTTAACATCGAGTCATCCTGATATTATGTTGTTGTATGTTATTGTGCTAGATTTTAGGAAAATCTTAGTGAACTACATATGGTAGCTATAAAGAACATATTCCGATACTTCAAAAGAACATCTCTTGAAATATGGTATCCATTGAACTATGGATTCTTCGTGCAAGCTTATTTCGACAATGACCTGGGAGGACGTGGACTTGATCGTAAAAGCACTTATGGGGGTTGTCAGTTTCTGGATGGCAAACTTGTAAGTTGGCAATCTAAGAAGCAAACTTGTGTTTCCCTATCTACTATAGAAGCTCAATACATTACAACAGCATCTTGTACATCCCAGGTTATGTGGATTCATAAACAGCTTAGGGATTATAGGATCAACATGAAACAAAGCCATATATACTGTGATTCATAAAGTTCAATAAGAATCTACTATAATCCAGTGCAGCACTCAAAGACAAAACAAATAGTACTGCGATATCATTTTATTAAGGATCATGTTGAGGATGGAAACGTTGAAGTCCACTTTGTTAGATCCTCAGATCAGTTGGCTGACATCTTCACAAAGGTCTTACCTAAAGTTATGTTTAATAGGATTTTACAAAGGCTAGGAATGATTGAAGCTAAATCAGTTCCAAAATCTGCCTCGTAATCGGAATTTACTGTTCATGTTCCGAATGGTTCCGAGCTTTGGAATGTTTTGAAATTCATTTTTAAATTCTGATTGGTTCCGAGCTTGAAATGGTTCAAAATCTATTGTTCATTGGGGTTTCAGAATGTTTTGTATCCTTTGTACACTAAGTCTCTTCCGATTGGTTTCGAGCTTCGGAATGATTTGGAAGTTACTGTTCATTTGGTTTTTTGAATTTTTTTTTTATCTTTAACACTTTTCTTTATTTTCGATTTTTCATTTGTTTTCAGAATATCAAAAATTCCAAAAATATTTTTCTTTATTTCTGTTTTATCTTTTTCAAAAAATCAAAAATCACAAAAATATTTTTCTTATTTTTGAGAAGCTAACGTTCGATTCTTAGCTGCATATTCTTTATTTTCTCAATTTCGAATGATGGGACATGTATAATTCTGAAACTTTGTACTAGTTAAGTATCCCTAGAAGCATGTTCCTGCATGTTGTCCCAAGCCTCTTAGACTTTATGCTTGAAGCCTTATTGAAAATTTCATTTTGATCGTTTCTTCCCAATCAGGCTACTAAATTTACATAAGTCATCGAGCTACCTTAATCTTCTCACTTTTAGTTAAGATTTGACTGCTTTGTCATTCATTTATAGCAGAGGTACACTTTCTTCTTCGAAACCAATCTACAATTTTTCCATCTATTTTGTATTCATATGCATAACCCTTTAGACTCTCAGAAATTACAACTAAGATTTATGGTTACACAACATTTGTGTTCATGATCTAAAAATTGTTATCACCACAATTTTGAGTGAAACCCAAAATCGGAAACCCATTTCTGAATTGATGGTGAACAATTAAATGTTCTAGATATTTTCACCAAGGAATTGACGAATAAACCTTTTGGGTTGTACCAATATAGCTCGAAATCTCATTTTTCTTTTTGAGTGATCTTAATGAAATGTTCTACGCATAAGGCATTTCTTCCCAACAAGATCCAATTTTTATTTTATGTTTTTGAGATTTCCATCATATCCAATCACTTATATAAAATCCAAAGTTTACTTGTTCTTATGGCTACACTGGTCAAACAAGTACTTCTTTCAAATCTTTGGACTTATCTTGAGTTTCGTAATTTGATTGAAGATGAAACCGCCTTTAAAGCCTATTAAAAGAAGCCTTTAACAGTTTCTTAATAAATTAGTAATGGTAATTCAACAGGATACCACACAAGCACTTCAGAGTCTTTCTTGACTAAGAAGGAAGAGATCGTTTCCTGTGATCCATCTAAATTTCATGTCGATTTTATTTGACATCATAGAATTCCACAAATTTAATTTTCTTTATTTGGTTTTAATGTTGATTGGTTACTTTCAGTCTGAGAACATGTCTTGATTTAAATGGCGGTGGATTGCCAGATAATTTTGAATGTGTCAATATAGAAATGACGGTTTCTTGGAGATAAGATTTCAAACCAAGTGCATCTTTTGATTACCCTGACAACACGTGTGTCTGTTACAATGGAGTCTGACATATTGATGAGTTGTCACGATTTTCGAGGCTACGTTTGCGGGATACGGGAATGTGGAACGGCGATTTTCTCTCACCACTTATCACATGATGTATAAAAGGGTTTTCGACGGTTTGTTTTATCTCAGCGCTTACACAATTATCTAAACCCTCAAAGCAAAACCCTTTTTCTCTCAACTATTCATCGTCTTCCTCAAAGCAACAATGGCATGATCATTAGGAACCGCTTCGTTCGCTGACCAATTTGTTTTCGTTATCATGCTCAATGTTAAGCCAAACCAAAACCCGATTCTCGATCTTGATTCATCGCGTTATAGTGAAGCTCTTAGGACAATGATTGAATGCCTAAGGTTCTCGCCACTGGCCCAAACTTTAACAATGGTGGAATCTGTTCCACCGGTCCATCTTTCTAAGGCTTATTCGATTATTATATACAACAAAGCGGAGGACATTTTCTATTTCTAGGTTTCTTCTCACAAAACTTCGATCACCAATACCCACTTCAGCAAACTCTTAGGTCTTGCTTCATCTGAAAACTCTCGTGGACCCATAATCGATTTCCTCAACTACCCTAATCGTGATGTTTTATCAGATGGGATATACTTGAGACATATCCCTATTTTCAAAGTTCAGGAAGCCCTTTCTTCCTCCAATATGGAATGTGCTATTCACCTTGCATTTCAATAGCTTTTTCAGAACGTGTTGCAGGATCTGACAGTGCAAGTAAGCTATTTTAAACTCTAATCTACTGCTTATTTCATGGGGTGAATCTCGAGTTTGGTTCTATACTATGGATTCAACTTATTCACAGTACAGGCTCCACTTCTCGCCACACCGAGATCTCATGTGCACATTTTTGGTCAATTGTGGTCCATCGTGCTCTAGCCCACTTGAAAGTCAAATTGATGTAGGATTATGTCATATTTAATATTCTCACATTAGGTATTGGACCGTTAGCTTTATTTCCATATTTTGGTGTTACTGTATTGTAAAAGTCATGAGACTCAGTGACCGGCTTGTTTGGATCATGTAGGTAGTTAAAGGGTGTTGGGAATAATAGTTGCGCATCATTAATTGCTTTGCAGAGTGTTTAAATTATGAACTTTTTCTTCTTGTGGGATGTCTATCAGGAGTTCGGTTACCAATGCTAGGCATGAGTTATGGAATTTCGATTCATGAAATTCATTGTGAATGTCTCGAGTGATTTTCCAGGTGGGGATACACCTGAGCTGATATGGGATTTGGGTGCAACATGAGAACTTTTGTATTGACCATCCTTATACTCGTGGGATCAATAGGTTGCTGATGACTTGTTAGGAAGTTAAGTGCATATTTAAGGCTATTAGGTAAAACCTCCGAATTTGGGATTTGGTGAAATTCACTATCAGCATATTCTGAGCATTCCGTCTATATAGTATAGTGGTATTCCTAGTTAGAGAGTAGGGGAGGGTACCAAGAATGAATGATCAGCAGTCCCAAGGAATAATTTATAGGGTTTAGTTTGATGGTTTCATATATTCTAGAAGTTTCCTGCTTCGTGTGGTCATCATTGTGATATAGAGTCTTCCAGTTGACAAGAGTAAGGTGGTTGTTTAAGTTCTCAGGCATAGTAGTTGGGTTTCTTTCCTTGGTTGAGGGCAGAGTGTTAATGTTCATTCTTTCTGAGGAATAAGTGACTTCTGTTGTGGTGGGGTTTGGATGGTAGGGTTTGGAGGTGATCATCAGTATAGGATGATTCTTCAGTCTTAATCGAAATACAGGAAGTTTAGGCATGATTGACTAGTTTTAGCCTTGCGAGCGAAAAAAAGGTGTTTTAAATGCTTTGGAGTGTTCTTGATGCATCATGGAGAAGAATGAGCTCATCGAAGAAGTGATGGATGCATTGGAGCCTATAGATCCAAATTTACTCACCTTGATTGTAACGCCCGTAGATTCGGGATAGTCAATTTAGGGATAATAGGGGTCGAAAATGACTTTTCGGCAAAAGATTATTTAGAATAAATAATCTTAACTAAGTTTTAGAATATGCCACAAGGTTTCCGTACATATAAAGAACGCCGAAATCCGAGTTATAACAAAGAAGTTATGACCCGTCGAAGTTTTTCGGCAAGACCGGCACGACACCGGGAAGCGTAAAAAGTGAATTTATGATAGAAGAATTTTTAGCCGTAGTAGTCTGAACCAAAGTCATAGAGTATGTTAAAATGATAAAATCCATAAAAAGAACGCCCAAATCTGACTTTGTATGAGGAAGTTATGATTTTTCAAAGTTTCGGCTTAGCAGTGTATAGCCCGAAACTCGAATTTTAGTTCGAGCGGTTTTTGGATTATGCGACCTAAATGAGAGTTGAAGATCTCATTAATAGGAACTCAACGGTAAAAAGATAGACGAAAACGGAGTCCGTATGAAGGAGTTACGAATTCTTCGTGGTCATTTAACAGTCTAAACGCCTCCTACTGTTAAATTTGAGATCGGTCGAGAATTAGCCGACGGGGTCTAAACGAATGTTGTGGATCTTGATTTTACCTACACGTGGATATAAAGAACGTCAAAAACGGAGCTTTTATGCGAGAGTTATGATTTTTCTAAGTCAGGAGGCTGATACGCGATATTGGGTGACGTGGCGCGATCACTGCCATTGCTTTCTCTCCAAGGAAAGCCATCAGATGATGACACATGGCACCAACTCGACAAGTAGGTCCTCCTACTCGGCGAGTCCGTCAGGATTTCACACTATAAATAGATGTGTCGGGTTCCATTCATTCTCACACCTTCAAACCCTTCTTTCTCTCTCTAGAACTTCTCTCTAAGCCTCCCTAACCCCCCTAAAAGCCTAGGGAACCTCCCTAGCACCCGAAGGAAGCCCCGAGACTCCCGGAGTCCTGAGAAAAGAGCATTTCGGCTCGGGAACGCTGCTCCAGCGAAGCCCGGTTTTCGAGAAAACCCGTTGTAAATGAGCTACGCCTAACCTATCTTTAGTATAGCTTATGTTTCAACATAGTAATGTTATTAGGACCTTATAATAATTATTTGGGCTATTATTATGAGTTATATTGAGTGTTATTTAACGCTTATATAAAAATAAAAATAATAATAATAATAGTCAGACTATTAATTTGTCGCGGTTATCGTTAGACTAAACCCTAGTAGTATTGGTACTAGGTTTTATCGAAGGAAATTGTTTTGAGAGTATCGAAGCGATGTCCGAGTGCTGAGTCACCACCTTTCAGGTGAGTGCATAGTTACTTTCAGCTTACACATAGATATGAAGTATTTTATATAAATTACGTGCTATGTGTGCATATTACCTGAATACTTGCTATCTATGCCGGATGAACATTTTTATACATGTTTTCAATGATTTAAACTATATATGTATTTTATATCTACGAAAATGTTAGGGTAAAACATGGGTAGATGTATTAGTTGTTGTGTGATAAAATAAAATAATGATAGGCCTCGTTATAGATGTTATTGATGATCCAGTCATCTAGCGGAGTATAGATGACGACCACGGATTATTCTAGACAGTCCAGTGGAACACTAGCAGGCTCGCAACCTGTAGGTGTTTATTCGAACTGTGTGTTTATTTGAACTGTGTGCTCACCAGGTGTAGTCCATCCCCCACATGGTTGCCTTGAGGATATTTATTGCTGAGGAATCCCCCTAGCAGTAGTGTCCATCCCGATGATAGTCCTTAGACTAGGTCCCTTGTGTTAGATGTTTTAGGGACGTAATGTGAGGATAACAGGAATGGGTAATTGTGTCGCACCCCAAAACCACGAACGGCGGAAACGTTCAGAGGTGGAGGACGTCATGTACAGTATCACAACAATGTAATATAATAAATAAGCAACAACATCATCCATTGCATTATAAATAAAGTTTAATACATGTGTGTTCTTTCATTGTAATAAGACACAAAAAATATACAATCAAAATAAAAGACGAGACTAGTCTGCTCCGTCTTCTCAAAACCTGGCCTCCATACCTATCTACTGATGACCTGAGAATACAAGTCATTTTGAAAGCGAGTATCAGCTTTAAAGCTGGTGAATTCATAAGTATATAAGTGTCATTGCCTTGTTTGTGAAAATCTGTTATGAAAAACCATGTAAACCTTTAAATGAAAATGTTGATGTACGAATGAAAAAACCTAGAAAATCCCTTATTTTCTATTAGTTTTAGATGTAGTCTTCTACCAAGACCCGAATGTTTTGTTTGTAAAATGATAGTTTTTCCTTCTTTTGACTACTACATACAGTAACTAGTCCAACTCATCGCTTATGTGAATATATCACAAAATAAAGTAAATAGGAAAATATAACCATGGAAGTATTACTCTTGGGTTACCCGGGGATAACACAACATCGCTGAAGCGAAAGATATAACCTAATGAACATCCGAAGATGGTTCAATTTAACCTCTGTGGCGCACAGTAGATTCCAGGAATGGTTAGTCCCGTAACTGACTTTACATCGATGTAGTCGAAGTAAATAACCTAATGAACATCCGAAGATTGTTCAATTAACCTCTGTAGCGAACGGTAGGTTCCAGGAATGGTTAGTCCCGTAACTGTCTCCTAATATATGTAATAACAACCCAATGAACATCCTAAGATTGTCCAATTAACCTCTGTGGCGAACAGTAGGTTCCAGGAATGGTTAGTCTCGTAACTGACTCTACCTTGCTATAAGCGAAATAGATAACCTAATGAACATCCGAAGATTGTCCAATTAACCTCTGTAGCGAACAATAGGTTCCAGGAATGGTTAGTCCCGTAACTGACTCCCGTTGAACTGGGATAGGCAGGACGATTTACTGAAGGTACTAATAATTTATCCTAATGAACCGAGGTTCAGATATTCATGTAATTATACATAGGTCGATGTATCTACGTAAAGGTATTCATGTAATGTGTTCATGTAAGCGTGTTCATGTAAGCATGTTCATGTATCATGTAAGCATATGTAAAGGTACTCATGTATCAGGTAATGTACTAGTAAAGACTCATGAATGAACTGACTCTTGTGTGATTCCTTGTAATAGAAGTAATGTTTGATATCTTCAAATTATCCCTATGATAATTTACTATAATATAACTGGTTGATCATGTAGGTTTATACACTCTTACTACTCAAGGGTGTGAGAAACTAAATGAAAGATGTAAACTATAACATTAATACATATATAAGAAAATATAAGTGTATATGTATAGTTTAGTTCAAGAATGTAAAATGGTTTCGTAATACATCATATGGGTTTTGAACAATAATTAATAATGACTTGATGTCATTTTAATAAACATTTCAAAGGTAAAACATTTGATAACAATGTGTTTTTAAGATGTAAACCATTTCATGCATCACATTTTGTAGCATGTGAAATCTTGTTAAATAACAAACACAGTTATAAAATACATATCAATGATTCAATAACATGTTTGTTTCTACTTGTATTCCCCCCCCCATAAAAGCATTTAAAATCATTTAAAATATTGATTAGGGGTATGAACTCACCTGTAGTTGGTGATTGGAATGAACTGAACGGTATAGGATGGCTAGGTGTCAAGCGAGGACTTGTGCACACACTACGATCCTAATGAACATATAATCACACATATATGCACTCAATTAGACTCAAATGACTAATTGATAATGTTTAAGACATCCTAGACATAATAAGC